CTTCGGCTGTAAAGGTTTGAACCTACAAACCTGAAATAGATATGGAGTTGCTTCAGGACATCTATGTAGACAAAATCTCATGGCCAATGTGAGGGAAGATTACTGCTAGCAGGAGGCAATGTGTGAACACAAAATGGTGGATGGGGTCAGGCAGGCAATCAATCTACAATCTGAAAGGGGGGGAAGGGAACACGAGCAGCAATCTGCAGAGTGCGATTCTGTGATGTGGCAATAGCTTTTGTGTGTGGATCAGTGAGAATCTTTTGGTTCTGCATTGGGCAGTCATGAAACCACTTTGCAGAAAGCTTAAGTATGGGAGGGAATTAAAACTGCAGATTTACTTCTGTTAAGAAGAGAGGCTGTATTGGGATCTCTAGAATATGAAGCAGACAAACTGTTTTCAGAGGATATTAAGAAAATATCCATCTTTATTTGTTGATACTGATTAACCAAGCTTCTATTAGAAATGACATGCAGGGAGGTAGATTTTGGTCCTTTAAAATAAACACCAGGGATTTTATGAGACTATGTTATAGGAAAGGGAAGTGGTTGGCTGCATGTGATTTAGATGTTCCCTGTGGGTAGGCTGTATTTTATTTTGGTTTTGTTTTGATTTTCTTTTTCTTTACCCAGAAGACTCATGACTGCAATTTGTAATTGCAAGAGTGGGTTTTGAAATCAGTAACCATTCTCTTAAAATTTCAGAGTCTTTAAGAATCAAAACCAGAGCACGAGGTAGAAACTTAGTGTTTTACAGCTGCCACTTTCAAGATTATTACAAATTTATCCAGCAGTAAAGCACAGGAACTCAGGCTGAGGTGCATATCGTGCTTTAGAAGTAGCTGTAAGTGGTGGTTGGGGTGGGAGGAGTATTTCTTGTCACATTTACAATCCACCTTCTTTCCTTTGACAATTCATTCTTTCTTCCTGGTAGGAACCTCTGAAGCAGGTAGACAGTCTTCTATCACCCTCCAGTGGTTTGCAGAGCACACTGCAAGTGTAATGTTCAGAAAGCTTATTCAGAAAATAGAAATGGGGCTGGGGCTGTTTCAAGTTTTCTTCTTGGGATATGCACTGTTCCATTATGGAGGTTTTTTTGGGGGCGACTTGTGTAAAAGGTGTTGCAGTCTTCAGATGTTACAAAGGGTCTTGGCACACCTGTTCTGGCACACCCATTTTGTGGAGCATAATGGTGTTCATGCAATTGCTTGCATTTGCAAGACATTAAACCATCTGCATCTCTCATGATTTCCTGTCTGTGTCTGTATTGCTGTCAGGATTAAGGAATCTGTGAGTGAGGACAATCAGATGTACAACAGTGAAGGGGTGCTTCAGAGGTGGTTGGGCAAAAGCTAGTGTTTGGGTGTTTGTCTACAAGTTTAGAGTCTCAGTAATTTGTAAGTCATTATAAATGTCTCCTCTGGCTGTTATTGTCTCTTCTATTTCTTTTCTTCCTTCCAGTCTCTTTATGTGTATTAACATATGAGTTTCCAAGGAAAATTGCATTTGGGCACTTTTTTTGGTGTTATTTTTCTGTTCTTCGTGGCTCTGCTATTCTATCCATGGCATGTCAGGGTGTCATCAACCTGATGGTTGCACACTTTTTTGGAGTACTGATGAAAATGATAAAAGATGATGCATTTTATTTTACCTTGTTATCATGAATGTAGAACTTATGCCATGAGAACTGCAGAAGCTTCCAAATACAGAAGGGGTGAATTTCTGAGTGGTTAAGGAGGCATTGATATGCTGTGTGACATGGTAGCACCTGCCAAACTTATCCACATAACTTTTACTTGTACTTTAGGACTCAATATAGCTTAAAGGGGGTGATGCTTTCACTGCTCAATATATTGTGGACTTTGCTATGGATTTTCAAGCGATTTTTTATTTCCCTACCTATGCTTTTATCCAAGAAAGTCTGTGCTAACAGAAACAGTCAAATTTTTGATTTAAGCCAATTGCAAATATCCTCAAATCGTGAAATGCACTTTTTTTCTGCTCCAGGACAACATAAATTGTTGGCTTATCTACTAACATCAGTTGTCTACTAGAGAGTGACAGTGGTCATGTAGAACTCTCTGTTCTGCCAAGATAAAATACATGAGTAGGACAAGAAAATTGCCGTAGCTACCACAGGGATCACCAGGAGTAAAGCACAAAGTTTAATTGAACTTCCCCTTCTGAGTTCAGCCCATCATGACTAGAGTTGGAGAGGAGAACTGGGACTGCAGCTGGGGCAGGGCAGAACAAAAGCACAACTCTCAAGAGCTTTAATTTCTCCCAAGTACTCTGATCTCCCTGTGTCTGTGTGAGCAGGTCTCTAGTTCCTTTCTTGTATCCCAGCTGGGACTCTGCACAGTCCTCCAGTTCCATAATGACCCATGTCCTGGTGACCTCTCCAAGTCCCCTGCCAGCCTGCTTATTTCTGGTGGTAGACTAGACACACAGGCATGCTGTCTGGTGGGAGAAGGAAAGGGGCCAGCAAAAGGAATCAGTCAGGCAGGCCTTGGCTTGCTTTCTGGCTGGATCTGGTCACGGGATGTTAGCATAAAAGGTCTGCTTTAGCCCATTTCTGCTAGCTTCCTCTCCTGATATATCTTTCTTGTCAATCTCAGCAGAAGTCTGTGAGCTTATTCCTTTATTTACCTACCCTGCCTGTTGGTCATTCAGGTTTCTTTTTCTTTGCCACTTACAAAATGTTTGCATTTAGAGAAATGGGAACAACCTTCTTGTTTGACTTTAAAATTCCATATGCAATAGCTGTATTTGTCCAGGTGTTCAGATAGATACTAAAGCTTTTGTGTATGTTGCAGAGAGTAAAATGGTTGTAAGGAGACTGGAGGTACACATGACAGTGGAAATTTAGCTCAGAATCTTCTCTCCGGTAGACCAAAACACACAGCATCAGAGTTGAGACTGCAAAAAAACTTCTATTTATGAACACAGTTCATTCTTTATTATGTTCAGCTTTGATCTCTCACAAAGCATCCACAGGTAAATGAAGGGTTAAGGTAAAATCCCTTCTTCCATGTGGACAAAGACCACTTTTTCTTTGGAAAGAAAGCCTTTTGCAAGGCTTGAATTGAATTTTTGCTGCAAAAAAGATAAGTCTCTAGGTCAAATGCTGTGTAACCTGGCGACTGTAATGATATGATAAGACTGATGATAATGCCACAGTCTGTCTGCTCAATACTACCTACGTGAACTACAATGAATATAAGGTTCTGGGTTTTTTTGTTGGTTTATTTACTTTTTTTAATGCCTCCCATTTTCCCAGACTGCTGTACAGAACCCAGTAAGCTTAGTTTTCATTCCTAAGTAGATGTATCAGAAAATGAAGTATTAGCTAGGAAATAGTAATAGACTGCTAGCACTGTCTCTTTGTATATAACTCAGGAAATATGTCAGTTCTTCTATACAGTTATTTAAGGCTTGTGATTGTAAAACTTTAGCAAGGGCTAGAAAATGCTCCAGAGATTTTGTTTTGAGGTGACAGCTCTGAAATGTGCAAGTTTAACTGCCACTAAAGACTGAAACTTGTTTGGTCCAGTAAGTACTGTTGTAAAACTAGGGGCAGGAAGAAGCATTTTTGAAAGTTAGCCCTCTTGGTGACATTGCATTAACATTTTAGGACAGTTGTGCTCCTTCAAAATGTGACAGGACAGCAAGCAGTAGTCAGACAAGAACTGCCATACTGGTTCAGGTTAAAGCGTAAACCTCTATCTTTAATGCTAACTATCTCCAAAACTATACATAAGCAATTTAGGGGAAATTTGCTATTTCCCTATAACAAACCAAAACAAAATATAAAAACCAAACTAGCCAACAACAACAACAAAAAAGCTCCAAAGCAACCCAAAACAAGGAAAACAAAGCCAAACTCATACCTTCAAAGCAAATTTATACCACCTCGGTGCTCTGAAGTGGCCAGTGGTTTTGAGCCAGGTTTAGCACCTGGAAAAGACTAGGAACCACTGCAGGAGTGCAGTAAAGGTATATGTAGGCAAGCAGCAGCTTTGCTGTGCCGGTCGTCTGTGCTGGGGCCTGCACACTGTAGCACAGTTCAGTCTTGCATGAGCACGGCTGCAGGGAGGTGGCACTGTTGTACTGAGGTTCGTACTTGTTCCATGTATCAGATGCTAGCGACCGGCTCTGAGATTATTCATTGGAATTGAGGCATTTTGGTTTTAAATGTCATTCTTTCATCTGTTTTTCAATGTAAGCGTTTTAGTAGGGAAGGGGTTTATTTTAAAGAAGTGCTGAAAAAAACCTACATCTTCACAAGGAAGACGATTAAAAAGTTGGCCCAAAGAGTTGCATTGTTTAAATGCAGAGAATAGCTTATTTCATCTTAAAATAGCCTTAAGATAGGATTTATTGCCATAATTCACAGATGTATGATGGATTTAGGGCCATAATTCACAAACGTGTGCCTGGAAGACCCTTCTTGCATTACCAAGGCCAACTGCTTTCACGTACAATTATTTCCATGTAATCATCTTTTCGAGTTTATTGAATTTAATCCTCAATGCTATTGCATTTCTTATGCTCTTAATTTATGGGAAGTCTGTTCCATAACTGCATTCCTCTAAGTCTAAGCAACTGAGAATAGCTGAGAACAGTGTAAGTATTAAAAACTAAAGTCTGGGTTTTTTTAATTCTCTCATCACCAGAGGTGTGCATCAGGTAAGGTTAAAATGAATATTCAGCTTCTTACCTGTCTATTAACATGTTTTGGCTATGCTGCAATGAGATTACTTCAGATGTCATTTGCAAGCAGACAGAAACAGAACTCTTGATTCCTCTGAATCTGTAAAAGTAACATCATTATGAATTTTACAGTGACGATGCACATACTGCTGTAATGTGTATTATCAAAATAAAAGGATTTGTTAATTTTATTAATTACTGCTTTTTTTTTTCTTTTTGGTAGAAAGAGAATCAGTTTATTGTACTATTTTAAAATTCTAACTTTTATTTATTTTTTTTCATTACAGTGGGAGAAACTACAGATGACAACAAGTGAGAGGAGGAAAATAGTTTGTTCAGTCACATTCCATGTAATTGCAATTACCTGTGTTGTTTGGTCATTGTATGTTTTAATTGACAGAACCGCTGAGGAAATTAAACAAGGCAATGATAATGGTAAGTATCTTCTACCTTCCTCAGTCTTGTTGATAATGCAATGGATGGCTTTGAGAGGCAGGTATGTAACCAGTCACATTCTGTTCTTAAATGACAGCTCACTGATACATGGCTATAGCAATTGCTTTAATGCAGAAGTAATGAGTGCGTCAGTGTTAAAAGCTTGTTATGCCCTGCAGAGAGACCTCTACTTAGTGTAATCATTGCCATGGCTTAACTAGCCTGCTGTTTTTTCTTAGGTTAATCTCCCATTATCTAGATATTCTGAAGTTCAGACAAAGAGCTGAGTCAAATTCAAACAGCTCAGTGCAAGTTCAGGTCAAAAAATAGTGATTTGTTTATATTACCCACTTGAACCTTGATATCCTGTAAAACACGATAGAGCCCCTTCATCAACAAGCTTCCTTATACAAAGTTCCAAGAGACTGTGTTCCAGTTGTGTTAGTCCTTCATGTAGGACTTAAGAAATATGGAAAGCCATCCCTGCATCCTTTTGAATAGAATTTCATTGTGAATGCCGGTTGCTTTTATTTTGAGGGTGGTCAAACACTGGAGCAGAGAAGTTGTGGAGTCTTCATTTGTGGACATACCAAAAACCCAACTGGCCATGTATAGCAAAACGTGTTTAACACAACTAGGTTTCTTTGTACCCTATGTGGAAACTGTGTTCCAAACTGAACTACTGTTTTCCATTTCAAATCTGTTTAGTCTTAAATTTAGTCTTAAATACGATCATGATGATAAAAGGCTTTTGAGTTTCTATCTGAATTAACTTTAAGTGCAGTAGAAGGACAAAGGTCTGTAGCTTTGTACTATGCTCTCAAGTTAACACAGAAAGCAAAACAGGCAGAGCTTTGTGCCTTGGTAAATATTTAATGATACTCCTGATGCTTGCCTTTCTTCCCTGTGAGAGGAAAATATGTAACAAGCCTCAGTAACTCACAGATGAATGTGTACTGTATAGTCTTGTTTTGCCTCCTTTCTAGATGGGTAGCCCTATTTTCCATCTCTCAAAAAAAATGGCCCTAAGGACAGGACTAGGAATGGCTTTGAACTTCTATTTATAAGTACAACTAGGTGATCCTACTCATTAAAAGGGGGAATGTAGTTCTGTGGATTAGCTGAATTCACACAACAAAACAGCTGACATGAATTTTTGTTGTTATATAGAATGCATAATAATCATATTAATTAATTCCTGGTAGGCTGAAAATATTTATGATTTCCATAGAATTCAGTGCCTACCAAATGTAACGGATGATTCTCCACCCTAAAAAGTGGACAGAGATACACCTTGAAGCTCCTTAAACCATGTAAAAATAACTGTTTACTGAAGAGAAGTCTATTGCCCCCATGTTGGCAGGGGTGATACTTTTACAAAATCAAACCTCTAGGAGGAAGAGGACAGGGAAGAGCCATATCTGTAGTTTGCTTTTCTCTTCATTATCTCCCTTCAAATGGGAAATGCTAGGAAAAAGACAGTGAACACAGGAGGAAAAAACACTTTATAAACACCTTTAGAGGAGAAAATCTGAAAGCCCTGAGCACTAGTACTGTTTGTTAATATTGTGTAAGTTTAAAAACCTCTTTTTAACATGTATCTTAAAATATTTAAAGGATTTGGTTTTTTTTCCTCCTTATGAAAGCATATGATAGAAATAAATGAAAGTGTAAACCTTGTCATTGGTAAAACTGTCACTGGTCAATAGAAAGGACAATTTAAAACCTATTTAAAATATTCTAAAATTTATATGGCACCACTGGAAGGGAATCAAGTTTCACATAAATTTGCTCTGCGTGAAGAAGCAGGTCTGAGCTTTACCTCTCCTAATAAATCTCAAATTTGTTAAAATACAGCAATTCTGGAATATACTGCATGATGCAAAATTCACTGTGCCATACCAGTTAAGCAACAAATGACACTTTCTGTATAACCATGGATGAAGCAGCAGCAGCACATCTTTAATTCTAAGAAGTGGAAGAAACTCTGAACGAAAGCGGAGCTGTTTATTCAGCCTCTTTCTTCTGAGCTCAGCACTCCAGCTGTGACTTGCCGATTCTAAGTGCCTTTACCCACTGATAGGCTTAGTCAGATGCTAACCGTACTGTTTTCACCTTTAAAAGCAAGAAAGAGACAGTGATATTTAAACCCAGTTATTAAAGGGGGAAATGAGAGAAAGAACACATCACTGTATATGACACCTTGGCAAAGTGTTCTTTGTTACTTCTTCTGATTCCAGGAACAGGGAATTGAAGAAAGGTTTGACAAACATTTTGTGAACAAATTTAACAAATACATAAGGATTTGTCTGTGGCAAGTTCAATTAAATAGAGTAATAGCAGTTTAGGCAGATACAAAGTGATTTCAAGGTCTTTGTATGCTTTCATTTTGCTGCAAATTAAAAAAAAAACCAGCACCATCACTTAATAGATTGTTACTATTTCAAAGTACTGCTATGACAGAGAACACTACAGCTATCAGTGTTACCAAGCATTATACTGCCTTTGTGCAAGTGGCCTTTCACTTATTATTTGACCAGATTGTGGTGAAGTCAGTTGAAAGTGGGAGGCAGATGTAGTTTCTTGTCTGGCCTATGGGACAGGAAACTGCTGTTATTTTCTCCTTGAGTCACAACTGTCCCAATAGCATGTACATACCCGGAATTCTTAGCAAGTAAGTGGCTTATTTTCAAAATATTTTACTGAAATTCAGTGCTTGATATTCAATATATAACAATGGTAATTTATATAAATGTTTTATTTTAAAGGTGTCCTTGAATGGCCATTTTGGACAAAACTCGTGGTGGTGGCCATTGGATTCACGGGGGGCCTGGTCTTCATGTACGTGCAGTGTAAGGTGTATGTTCAGCTGTGGCGCAGGTTGAAAGCCTACAATAGAGTGATCTTTGTTCAGAACTGCCCAGACACCACCAAAAAACTGGAGGACAAGAACTCTTTGTGCACTCAGACCTCAGATATCAAGGACGCAGTAGTGGTGCCAGTAGCACAGACAGGTACAAACTCTCAGCCAGAAGCTGAAGAAATGATGTCTGAGGTCATGCCAGTTTGACAGAGGCAGCACTGTTTCTTCCTTGCAGAATAAGGCGTAGTGTTTTGTACACTACAGATGCTAAAAGAGAGCAGAAACGACTGCATTTTTTTCAGTTAAAAAGAACAAAAAAAACCCACACAGAAAACAAAATCCTACAAGGAAAATGGATCCAGCAAAGCAACTTGTTACTGTATGGAATGTGACCGTTTGTGAAGTAGTTCCTCAATTAGTCACCAAGTGTAGTGAAAGTGGAAGTAAGTGTAGAAAGTGCAATAGAGAACAGGTTTAACAGACAATGCCAAACCAATGTGACAATAGTACTTTCTTTTTTTTTCTTTTTTTCTTTTACTTTAAATTTGATGGCTGGGAAAGTAGGAAGAGACCTGATAGAATCATTTTGTTTACAGAAAACAAAAACCTTTAATCTGTTTACTACTAAGAGTTGTGTATTTGCTATTTATCTTCTTAAAGATACACCTCAAGAGGGTACCAGTCAAGTTATATGCATTAACTGAAGCGAAGTACAAAGAGCTGTACCTCAGTACTCATTCTCTAAGCCTCATATGGTAACAAATATTCATGTGACTGCAGTGGAGCCTGAAAGTTTGGACAGCTGTGTCAACTGAGGATATTTGAGACATTTGAAGGGTAGTATTGTTCTGAATATGCCTGAATTTTTGAAAAGTAAGTAACTCCAACCAGCATAAACTCATGTCTCCATAAGCTACAGATATTTTTTTTAAGTACAGCTGTTTGCAGAACAAAAACAGGAAGGAGAGAATGTGTAGGTATGTATTTAGAAGAGCGGCTCAGCTGTTCATTTTGCTTTGTAAGAGTGAATTAGACATAATTTGGATGCACAAAGATTTGAGGCAGAACTATAAATTAAAAAAATGCAATTCAGTGAAGAACTACACAAAAGTAAATAGCATATTATCCAAGGTCTGAAAAAGGATGACACATAGGGAAGACGGAAGCCAATTTTGGTTTTATTTTTTAAGATTCATAATACAGGACAGTAGACGTAAGAGAATATACCTACATATTTTAACAGAACATTAGTTTTTATCTCCTTGTTCTGAAAAGTTAGCTTTTTTTTTTCCTGACTGAAAAAATAAATCAATGGTTTCCCTCTGTACAGGTAAACTTGAGGTGTTAGAGATTTACAGTTCAGTTAACTTCGTGTTTTGAACATCCTCATATAAAAATAAAGTGTGAATAGCATTAAAAGGTGCAATAGATAAATGAATGTAGATGTAATACTGTGTCCAACAGGGTGAATTATATATAAAGAGCCATTTTTGTGATTCACTTTTCATATCTGTGATGTTTACCATCAGGACACAACAGCAAGTATTGACCTGAAGTAGTTACGTACTGGCATGGACAAGTCTGGGGCCTGAAAGTAATGTATATTTTAAAAAAAAAAAAAAGGATTAAAGTTGTTTTGCTTTTTTTTAATCTTTTATTTAGGTAAAGAAGGAAAAGCAAACAAGTAAATAAAGAACCAGAGTAAAGAGGCTAGGAAAGGACAGGTTCATTCAAAGAGGGAAATCTGCCACAATTACAAGTGGATATTCTTCTACAGAAGCCTTGGTAAATTTCCTCTTTACACACTCAAATATCTGTAATTAACTAACAGAATCAGTCCATTCTTGCAATTATCCAGGGTGCTGGGCCTAAAATGTATTAGAGTTCATATATTAGGCATTCCTTTGTGAATGCGTTCACTGGCTTAAGGCTCAGGGAACACTGGAAGTTGCAGTATTAGCAAGAAATGTGGCTTTTATCAGACCATTATGTTCTTTTATATTGGAATTGCTTATGTAATTTTGCTGTGACTAAGTGATTGTCATCTGGCTAGACAGAACACAAAATCCTGGGGCTTGAACAGGCCCTCAATACATGTTAATATTTACTGTAAGTTACTCCAGGTAAACTGGATTCATGTTCAAGTTTGGTTTTTTTTTTCACATAACAACACATACTTTACATATAAAATAACTTCCCAGTTATACAATTTCAAATTAGAATTCTAGCAGCTTCTCATTTGAAATTACAAAGAACAGTAACCAAATAATTTCTCTGTTTGTAATTGTGGAGAAGGCTTCAGAAGGCCTTCAGAAAACAATTACAGTACTGAGGAATGCTTCATAACTGCACATGTTTAAAACAGCCTGCAAAGGCATGGTTTTCAAAAAGTGTAAATTAACTTGCTAAAAAGTAAATCTTAAATCTGAAGTCAGACACTTAAAATTACTAGCTGCATCTAAATGTTTGGGATGATGTCTACAATAAAACCTGATGAACCACATCAAAATTGACTGACAAGGAAAATTATTATGGAAGAAAAATTAACAGCTTTATGAAATAATCAGAGATTTTCTTACAAAGTGACAGTAACCCTGCTTCCTTAGCCAGCTTGTTCTTTGACCTGCTATAGCATCATGACCCCATTGAAAATACATTATCCCCTATTTTGACAGTTTACTATAGACCAATTCACATTGGCTTTTTTCTTGAACAAGTATAAAATTTAACTCAAAGAAAATACCTGAGGCTTCTGTAGTATCCAACAAGATTACTGTACAGTTTTTAAAATATACTGGAGAGTTCGCCACAGAACAGACAACTTAACCTAAAAATTTTATACTGATGCCTTCAACTTCAAAATGCTATTTTGGCACTCATTTCAATTACATGTGCAACCAAGCTTAGAGTTAGTGAAATACAAGAACAGAGAAAGACTTCAGTTGAAACTCCTCCTCTCCCTTTGAAATATTAATTTGGATAGCAGGAAAAGGAGCAAAATGGGACACTGTCTGCTAAGACAGACAGCAAGTCTGCAGCTCAAAGCAGTCTTTAACCTTTTAAAGCATTATGGTATTAGCCTGTGCATCCCTTTATCTTCTTAGGTGCACTGGATATTCTAGAGCTTTCAGGGATTTCATGCAGGATTGGAATTTGCTTGTGAAGCAGGATGCTACCTCTTCAAGAGGGCAAGGAGCTATTCACACCACCATGCCTTGGATACAGGTCTGCATGGATAAGGTGCACAAATACAGACACCAGACTGCTACTTACCAGCCAATGTTTTTTCATTCCTACACAAAGCACAATTTTCTCTATCAATTTAATAACCACAGGATTCTATCCTGCAAAAAAACAGTATGCTGAAACTTTTAAGATACATTCTAAGATTTTTTAATGAAAATGACATATTAAATAAAGATCCATATCAAACTGCCTGTGTAGCCACAATGCATTCTCGGGCAAAGATGCTGGCAGTGGAATTTAGCCTTGGCTAAAACCACAAGGGCAGAACCTTGCGCTGAGCAGCCATTTTTACCAAAAGCAGCTTAATCTGCATTCTTGTTTAAAAAGTTTTAATGAAGGTAGGTAGAAGTAATCTGGTTTCAGATCAGATCTGGAATTTTAAAAATACTCTTAACCGTGAATAAACACATCTCCTGTTTTAAGTTACAAGCATTATGAAATTTATTTCAAACTGGCGTAAACATACCACTTTTGACTATCATAAGCATTACAAAGATTCTCAACTAGTCCAACTGTGCCATTCACACACTGCTCTGAAGGCAGTGTTTATTTTTGTTGTGTAGAAAAAAACAATAATTCCCCATCACCAGAACAACCCATTTATAATTAATTTCTAATAATGCAACGAAACTTACTGTAAGGTGAAAATATTTTACTGTGTATAATATTTGGAACTACGAGTTTGTGTTACTTGTTTAACTCCCTCTCTTTTGCAAAAGAAAAATTGTGGTTGAATGTGTACTGAAAGAGAGAAAATAAGGGAAACAAAAGTAATGTATCGCTTATTGTTGTGAAAAAAAAATGTATTTGTATTAAACAAATGACCTAAATTACTGTAGTATTCTACGTTTGTCACTTTTGTTATAGAGAGCATCACATGCTGAACATGAATTGTCAAGATCAAACTCTTGCAAGAAAGGTGAATAGTACACTCAGCTATGTACTTAATGTTGACAAACCTGCTAACTCAGAGTGGCAATTCTGGGTACCATGCCTTGGCAGAATGCTCAGGAAAATACCTCACAGTACAAAAACACTTGAAAAGAACTACAGTTGTTTAACTTGCAGAAGGGAAGACTGTGAACAGGCTTCAACTGGATAAAGAATGCCCAGAAACAACCTGTTTGCATCCATAGCAAAATGGAAAACTAGTATAGGGATTCAACTGTAGGAGGATAAAAGGAAAAATGCTTCCTAAGGAAAGCAGTGCTTTGGAATGAACTGTTTGTGTGACTGCGGAATGTCCAACAAGTTTTAAAGCTGGGTTAGATGGTTTAAAGCTAATCCCACCTTTGATTGTCAGAATGGATCCTGTTCCCCTTTTTATTATTTTAGACTTCTACTTTTCCAAAAACCCTAAAGATGCATTTTTTTTAAATGTAAAGAAATATTATATGTCTGTATTATAAAAGAATCTGTACTTTCAGTCAGGTGTAAAACCAGAGAAAGTATCCTATTATCTCGATAAATACACAGTGTTCCAACTAAACTACAAATTTAGCTTTCTTAAGAGCATTGTACCCACCTACTCCGTATCATTCCTTTACATTGTCAGCCTGGTAGAGAGTGGACTAAGTTTCAAAACTTCACAGTTCTAGCTGGAATAAGTCATCATATGGCTGCTAAGAATATACATTCGAAACAGATAAATGAGAGAATGTTCTAACACATTACATTCCCTACATCCAAGGCCAACAGATTGTTAATTTTGATAAAATTGTCCTAACTAGCTCACTGTGCAAATCAAAGATGGATTCACAAATCCCTACAAGACATAATACAGAAGAAACAGCACAACCAAAGGAGTTCTAGTAATAAAGATCTGTTCATTTTCATTTCTTAGCATATGGAAAAACAGAGCCAAATTTAGTTTTAGAATGAAAAGATGAGGGGTATATGTCACTATGCCTTCTTGCTTTGCACACAAATGTTCGAATCTCTTGATGGAGGGCACCGTTAAAACACAAAACACATTTCTGTCCAGTTTGCTCTCTATATACACATAAACACGAAAATGTGCTATATGGTATTTATTCACACTCTCCTCTTCTCCTGCCCCCCAATAAAATATTGAGGCTG